ATAAGTTCTGTGGTTGAAACTATCCCAGTAACCCTTTGGCTTCTCAGACAGAAAGGGTATACCTTCACTGTTATCTAGTAGTAGGATCCATAGCACTTGGTGAGTCACTCACAACATCTGATGGTAAAAATTTTAACTATCCCTTTAACACAAAAATTCATATTTTTGTATATGTTTTGTGGGTATAGATCAAGGTTATGAAAGAGGCCAGAGGTGGTGTGAATCCAGGCCAGAACTAATAAATGGAGCTGGCCCAGTGCCGGTCCAGTGCCAGTCCAGATGTGAAAACCGGATCCTCAACAGTATCTTAGAGACTCTGGGCCAGATCCAGTATGGAACTGGTCCAGATCTGGCCCACATTTGGGCCAAATGACTACATAATAATTGTCATCCGTTCTGGAGCTGGACCAATGCCGGCCCAGATGTGAAAACCGGATCTGAACCGGCATTGGCCCGTTGTGCTAAAGGACACCGGCCCGGGTCCGTTTTACAGATCTGGCCCAGAACTTATGAAGGATCTGGGCCGCATGATTTTTGCTATCTATTACTTCTGATTTCTGTGTCTTAACATTTATATGTTCTTAAAGTCTATATGCGTGTGTTTTAATCAAATACCTTTCCACAATCAACTCTTAAATGTCCTAAACCGTTATACAGTTCTTAGTTTTAAGCATTTGATAAACAGGAAAAGAAGTTATTGTCAATCGTTAAACATTTAGAATAGTTAAAACATTTCATCAGAGATCAGATGCAGATGAAAGGGCATCTTAACTAAACCTAACTTCCAGGAGAATATTGACAGTAAAACACTCTTAGAAAATATACAAGGAAGTTATAAGAACATGGCATCAGATTACAAACAATAAAACAGTATATAAATCAAGCGCAAGGAGAGGCGTTAAAGAACATTGACATGTAATACTTCTTTTGTCCTCTGGGGGACACTGGTTCCATGAGAGGACCTGGGAATTCTCTGACTATCTACTTATAGTTAAACTCAGTCCTTGGCTCAGAAGCTGGGAAAATTGGTTATTTAACACATGATAATAATTCCTTATCATATCATTTCCAAGAAAGTATATAAAGGTGCTGGGAATAAACATTAGTTACAACAAATTAAATGCCAGAATTTCGGTGAGCATTGCTGAAGATTAAAGAGCACTGCAAAATTAACTTCTTTGTGGATTCTCCTTTTCAACACAGTTTCTAACAAGAACACGGTAATAGAACTGAAGAATTGAAGTGCAGGCCACTAAGTAACTTAACGATTATTTAATTCTAACAAGGTAATAAGGCAAGTTTATAAGGAGACCACATTCTTGGAAAAGGAATTTGAGGCTGTTCCTCTGGCGTCTGGCTTTTCTCTGCTTTGTCTCTGCTCAGCATGCAGTGAGTGCAGACACTGACAGTCATGTTAAGGCTTTCTCACATATCATTTCATATCATAAATTTCTGTTCTTATTGTACATCCTGCAGAATAGAGGGTATGCGGATGATGTCACAGAACGCAGTAACGCTCCCTGAGGGCAGAAAGACGAGCAGCAGCTTTAATCAGCTAAAACACAAACAACACATCTAAAATGGGAAAGAGCTGGATCACTGGTTCTTTGGTAAGCAGTAAGGATCACTTTCGAGTCTGACTGCCTTTAATTTGAGCAAATAATCACTTGTTTTTCTCCTGGTTTGCTACACGCAGCCATGGTAACAGATGTTTTGGTCCAGCGTGTTCCGGAAGGGAAGTGACATCAACGCGTACCTTCTATAATGATCTCTCTTCCTTTCTGCGTATACATACATCAGCTTTGGTGTGAATGTGGTGATGACACTGATTCTTGATCTCACAGCAACACCGTTTTATGTGTGAAGAGGAACTGGAAGGTTATTTTCCCCTCAGACTCTAGTTTCAAAGTAATATTTATAGCACAATGGAAAAAAAACAAATGCACCCGTTTATTTGAGCGTTGTGTTCATTTGACTTGATTTGTGCGTTTGATATCTGAAGTTACTGTGGCAACATGAGGTAAAAACATCTCAAATTGCATACATCTTTACTCAGCCCACAGGACACATAGTCTGAAAATTAAAAGTTGGAAAACATTAGTTAAAGCTATTATAATCTCATATAATCTATAATTCCAGAGGTTTATAACATGGCTGCTTTACAAATAAATCCTGATATCTGGCCTCTTTTTTAGATTAATATCTGATGAGAACCTCTTCAGCATCACATTTGCCTAAATAAATAATTTAAGAGAATTGTAAACCACTTGAAAACTTGAAAACATTATTTATTCTGACGTCAAACAAGGACCAGCTCTATTTTCTGATGTACTATTCTACACAAAACTGAATGGGTTACAAAGACATACATATCGTATCATACTGTAAGATGACTCACAGCACCCTGATATTTTTATTAGGGAGCCAGAGTCCTGGCCCCTCCTAGCCTCTGTTGCACTTGTGTCTGTAAGTCAGTTTTCAGAGGCACAGAGTCTAGTGAGGAGGGAGGGCAAGTCGACTTTAACTCTGTAGCACTACATGCAAATCTGCGGTTCACTAATTAAGTTATCTGTTGTGATTTTGTTTTACATCCATAACGAGAGGTGCATCAGGTCACAGATCAGCATGAATGACAACATTTAAAAGTTAAACTACTGAGGTGTTTCTGTTGCATGCGTTGATAATACAGACCTGGGCACAGAGTAATGCACAGGCATCCAGGCCTTTTTTCCTCATATAGCATTTTGAGAGAACACACCATTAAAATGTAGGCACTGGACGCACACACATGCACAAATAAACAATAAATTGTTAGTGTATGGTGTGACATGATTTGAGGAGGGCTGGTGACAAGAGGAGGGCGCAACTTCTGATTTTAATTGAAAATATAATTATTCTTTAAAGTGGCAGTTCTGGAAAAATCCAATACGACAACGACACAGCAGGTAATGCCACTAACGTTAGCTAGGTTGCGGGTTTGCAAACTGTTGCTACAGTTGTTGCTGCAGAGCTAACATGGAGAGAGGAGGAGACTTTTCCCAGAGCAGCACACCAGGACCCTGTTTCAGAAAGCAGGCTTAACAAACTCTGAGCTCATCCCTGAACTCAGAGTTGATTGAGCCTGAGATGGTAAACTCAGAACTTGTTGACCTCCTCATGAGGAGGTTAGCTTCACAGCATCAGTTGCTGGAGTTTGTTTCCCATTTACAGAGCCAGGGCTGAGTACAAACACTGGATTATTTTTCAGCACACACACAGAGCAGACAGCTAGCAGACTGTGAGGAGATATTCACTGAATTTGAACAAAAATACATTTCTTAAATTATTAGTGCATATATCCTTTAAATCACAAAGTTGAACTGCAGTATTGTAGATAAAAGTATCCCATCACCTCAGCAGAGACACTTTACATGTCCATGTGGTTTTAGGTTTGGTCACAACTTCCCCCACAGAAATTGACTGAGCTCGAGCAAAACAGAAATAGTCTCATGAACAGAAGTGAGCGTGAAGAGAGACAAAGCTCTGCCCTCTATTCTGTTCTCTAGTAGCAGCTGTTTTTTATACATAGCTTTCTCTGGTGGTGACCAAAAATAATCTCCAAATCTGAACAGTAGAAATGAAGAACAATAAGAGTGAAAAACCCTAAAACTTAGAGACACAGGCTGCGTTCTGATCCACACAAACAGAACTCGCTGCTCAGAGAACTTCTAAATCCTTCCATTCGGAACACTCTGCAACATCAAAGCACACCTAAGTTCCGCCGTGTGTTACCCTGGTAACATAAACACCTCGGATACCCGCTGCTACTGTGGACATTTACTGAAATTAAATATTGAATATATATTTAAACAAACTGATACAATTACAAAACTTATATTTCTGTAACTCCTTCTGTTTCTATTCTATTAAAATGTATGTAACTTGTGAATGAATGTGATTGGATAAATATGCAGCGTCATTCTTGAAAAGATTCATATGAGCATTGTTTGTTTTAGGTAACCTAACTTCTGAAATAATCATATAAATAATGATAACATTAGTTACCACAACAATAATTACAGATATATAAACTCTATTGTCTGCTCCATTGTTAGTTTTTGCTGCTCCTATGAGGTGCAAAGGCTTATGGGTAATTTTCTTGTCAACTTCCTGTGAACTGATGAGCCGTTGTTCACTTTGAACTGAACATGTTGTGCTCCCTGCCGTTTGGGATCTTACTTAAAATGGCCGAATACCCTGTGCAGTCCACTTAGCAGGGAGCTACTGGGAGATCAGAACACACCCGTACAGAAACACAACCTCCTACATGTAGAGACAAACCTAACATTCAGAAACACACAGATTTTCAACCTGAATCCTTTATACTGTTGTAAGGACGTGAAAATTCCTCCTGTGCGTCCCCTGCTGTAGTGTTGGCAAGTTTGACTCTTTTGAAAGACTCGAGTCACCAAATCTGTTCATTAAAATGAACGAATCTTTTTTGTGTCATTTCGTTCATTTGAACTAGGCTGGTTATTATTGCAGCCCTCTAGTTGGCGATTAAAAAACAGCACCGTTCTCAAACATGGAAGGTTGCCTGGCTTGCTTTATTTGACAAAGTATAATGCACAAATTCCCCTCTTGATCTTTCTCTATCATCATTATATAAACCCCCTGGGCCCACAACCAAATTCAAACCATGTAAAAACCACAGAAATATGTAGTCTATATGCAATCCACTACTCCACCTAAATCCTTCCACTTTCCTGAGTATACAACCAGACAACGAAAGACAGAGGAGGACCCATGTGAGCGGTGAACGAGTCTCAAACCTAGAGACCCACAGTTGCTATGAGTCATGAACTAATCAGTTCTGTTTCCTGTGCTGCCTGCTTACCACAGCCCTGTAGCCGAGCTGTCACGTGACAAATGAACGACTCAAACCTGGAGACCCACAGTTGAGAGTCGTGAACTAATCAAGCAGGAAGTGTAAACATTTCAAAGTTTGCTGCAGTGTCACTGCAGTTGTCTGAGCTTTGTGTAAAAGGGAAGGAAGAACAGACAGGCTGTACTCAGAAGGAGAAGGTAAAGAAAAATGTGCCCTCATAATATATTTATATGAAATGTAACTTCTCTCTTCCTGCTGCATCATTATTAATGCAAAGTAGAAACATTTGTCAGCAGCAGAGCGACAGTGTCCGTGCTGGATGTGAAGATGGGGCACACTTTGCTCTGTGTGCTGGGGTTATTCTGTGAGTACATCACTGACTTTACAATGTTGAGACTTTCAGAGGCAAACTCATGTTTTATCAACATGGTAGTTTAGTAGACATGATCTTGGTTTCTGATTTGACTTTTCAGAGTGCAGGACTGTTAAATACATACTGCACTAGTTCTTTTTGCACTAATGTTTGCACGATGCATGTTCAGTTTATGGTCTGAGGTATTGTTATTGTTATATATTGTATAAAGCCTTTAATTTAACTTACCTCTGTACCAACTAACAGAATATCATCACAGAAATGTGTGATCCTGTGATTGATAATCAATAGTTGCCTCTGATGAAACTCCAGCTGGATTTAAATGCCTTTGCTTTTTGTCTGATGAAGTTTAATCTTTATTTCAGTGCTGAATACACTCCTCTACGGACACGCTGAAGGTGACCTATTGTCTTTTTTCTAGTTTTTACATATTGACTCTTAATCACATTCTCTTGTTGTGCTTGTATTTCCATGTATGTATTATTTTACTCCAAGTATCAATACAATTTATGAAATGTCTATTTTACTGTTAGGTTTCCACTGAGGATTCAAGAGCAGACACAAGACTGTTGTCAAAAAACACATGCAGGTTTCTTTTCAAAGTGCGCAGAGAAAACCAGATAGTTGGGGATGGGCAGAGCAATCCAGGTTCCACGGGGATTAGGCTCTGGCGTCCTGCAGTTAGACCTGGGTAGACTGACAGGCAGGCGGCAGCATCTTAACGCACAGGAACAAAGAAACAGGACGTAAAAGTACAACTAGATTTGACTCTGAGAGTTGCACAATAATAACACGAGAGGTAAACTGAAAACAGAGCGAGGAGGAAGATGAACCAGAGTATTTCACTGCATGGCTTGATTACTGATGAGCCACAGGTGCGAGATGCTGCAGATGGTGATCAGCCAGGAGCCAGACACACACACAAACACACACAAACACAGACAGACAGACAGACAGGACATGACAGGGACAGCAGGGAAGGGAAAATGGAGAAAACATAAGGGAGCCTAAAGGCCTAATCATGACAGCGGGATGATGAACATGAGACGAGCTCTGAGGACTCTGGTGTGGGGAAAAACCAAAAGGTGACACAGTCAGTTATTTTGGGTGGCGAATGGTGTGCTGGCTGCCATAGTGTGTTTTTTGGTGTTACCTCTGCTGAAGTCAGAAATTGTTGAATGCTTCACATACAGATGGTCACAAATGATAAATCAACCTAAAGTGTCTCAGTGAGGTTTTGGGACAAACCTTCAGAACAGCTTCAATGCTCCTTTGTCTCTGATTTCATTATGTATTATTTTCATGAAAGTATTTTAATTGGGTTAATTCACAGGAACAGTAACGACATTTTATCATCTTTGTTGTAAACTTCACAGCAAAGAGACCAAAGGCTGAACTGAGAGCTGACAGGAGAACTATTCCAGCAGGGGGCAGTGTGACCCTGAGCTGCTCTGTGAACCCGTCATCTGGTTGGAAATACTTCTGGTACAGAGGAGAGAAAACCTCTGAACCCTGAACACACAAGATGCTGTCTTCATCTCAGATGGACCAATCAGTGTCTCACAGGGAGGACTCTACTGGTGCAGAGGAGGAAGAGGAGACCCAGTTTACTACACAGAGGACAGTGATCCAGTCGGTAAAGACCAAAAAGGCTATTTTTCAATATGATTGAAAAACAAATGCAGAAATAATACATTGTGTGTTTAGGTGTAATGATTAAGACTGAAGAATGATTAACACTAAAACATTGTGTTTAATGTTAAACCTTTTCTAATTTTTGTGTTTGGGGCCTTTGATCATGAGCCGTTACAAACAGGCCTGTTGTGACTCTGCAAACCAGCTGGCCTGAGATATACAGAGGAGAGAGATCACTCTGAGATGTGAGATCAAGGACGGAGGAGACACTGAGTGGGAGTATAAGTGGTCAACACCCCACTCAGACACAGTGACAAAACACACATACGGAGTTATCAGCGCTACTGTTACAGTGGTGGGAACTACAGGTGTATGGGTGAACACAAAAAGAAATTATATTCAACAGAGTGGAGTGATTCCTTCATGCTGAGAGTGTCGGGTAAGTTGGACTGCACTGATTCATTGTGAAGATGTCATGATTTGAACTATCAGCCAAGTCAGCGACAAACTGTGTGTTTGTTTTGTGTTGTGTGTGTGTGTGTGGCATTCGAGATGTAGTAAAATTTTATGTATTCACACAATGTTGGGCAGTTACTCGGGGCGGAGCTAGACTCTCAGCACAGTGGGGCCCACCTGCTACCTGCTACATGATGTTGGACTCGCTCTGAAAGTCCACTGAGCCCGTCTGCGGCGCGGCTTCAGAGTCTGGCCATTCTAGTCGATGCTTGTGCTCACACCAGAAGCCTTGCAGTGCGTCCCAGAAGCGTCTCTGCGCTCTGCTCTGTGGAGAATAGGCAGCCAGTCTATTTTTTAAGAGAAGCCGCGTCAAGCACAGAGCAGATGAACCGGGCAGGAAGTCGGAAACAGAAACGGCATAAAGAATCCAGTTGATTTTCAAAATAAAACAACCTGTGCAGACTCAAAACAGAAAAAAAGAAACCATTTAACTAGCCTTCTTAACCATTGTAGGAGCACACACTAGCAAAGCAAACACTAATCACCAAATCAACTAAATCTAAACATGTCAGTAAAATCAGGTAGGCAAATGATCTTATTCTGAAATGCTCCCAGTGGGATGTGCAGTCTTACAGACTATAGAACAAAACTGTTTCACAGAGAGCTGTGAAGAAGGTAGTAATCACAAAAAGGACATATTAAAAATAAGTCATTAACGTGGGGCAGGCTACACGCTGCTGCTGAGACGGAGGTATGGAAAAGATTGAGTGCCGATACACATGGCAACACGTGAACAACATGTGAACAACATGTGAATGAGGAGTGCTGGTCACAGTGCTGACAAATATGTTCGGTCCTGCGTTAACGCACTGTATCAGTGATTAGAGTGATTAGTGTTTAGATGCGCAGAAACACAGTGATCACAATGTGCTAATAAACCAAAATTGGTTTTCAAAAAAGGAAAGAGAGGAAAGACAACGAAAAGGATGTTAGAAAGTTACGTTGCTATAGTTAATCTGTAACCCAGTTTTTCACTAAGAAAGGTTGGCAGCCTTTAGTCTGTGAGTTATATTAACCTGTTGGCTTAATGTCCACAGTGAAAATCTAGCTAGCTGCAGACTAGGGTAGCCTTCATTTCATCAGCATTTAATCGTGTGCAGGGAAACGTTTAGCAAAAGATTCATATTGAATCATTGTCCCTGCCTTTTAGCAGACTAACAACAGATGAGTCAGCAGCAGCCCAGTCTCCC